CCACGGGGGGTGGATCTCGGGGCGTCGAGGGCCCAGGGAGTGCGTCGGGGAGTTCGGCGGGGACCCCCCCCCCTAAACGAAAGTTGGGTTTACACAACGTGTTAGTGTCTGGGAGTGTCGCGGCGGTTCCAATTGGCCCCCGCCAGTCGGCTTGGCTACGATCCTTCGTAAAACACGTGGGATTCGCGTGGCGATGGCAAGATTTCAGGCCTGCCGATGCCGCGATCCCCCGTAAAACACAACGGATTCGCGTCGCGACGGCTTCCGCGGAGCGCTTGTCGGGCCACCCCGAACGCGTTTCCGCTCGTCCAGGCTCGCACGGAATGCTTGCCGGGCTGCTCCAGAGCCGCCCCCAGAGCGCTATGTCCGAGCTATCTTTGAAGGGCGCCACAGACGGCGCCTTCGGCCTCGCCCCCGCGCCCGCTGCGGCCGCGGCCCACGCCCGGCGTGGCGCCTGGCGCCCTCTGGGCGCTATCTCCGAGCTATCTTTGAAGGGCGCCACAGACGGCGCCTTCGGCCTCGCCCCCGCGCCCGCTGCGGCCGCGGCCCACGCCCCGCGTGGCGCCTGGCGCCTCTGGGCGCTATCTCCGAGCTATCTTTGAAGGGCGCCACAGACGGCGCCTTCGGCCTCGCCCCCGCGCCCGCTGCGGCCGCGGCTCACGCCCGGCGTGGCGCCTGGCGCCCCCCTGGCGCTATCTCCGAGCTATCTTTGAAGGGCGCCACAGACGGCGCCTTCGGCCTCGCCCCCGCGCCCGCTGCGGCCGCGGCCCACGCCCGGCGTGGCGCCTGGCGCCCTCCTGGCGCTATCTCCGAGCTACCTTTGAAGGACGCCACAGACGGCGCCGCCGGCTTCGCCCCCGCGCCCGCTGCGGCCGCGGCCCACGCCCCGCGTGGCGCCTGGCGCCTTCTGGGCGCTATCTCCGAGCTATCTTTGAAGGACGCCACAGACGGCGCCTTCGGCCTCGCCCCCGCGCCCGCTGCGGCCGCGGCCCACGCCCGGCGTGGCGCCTGGCGCCCTCTGGGTGCTATCTCCGAGCCATCTTTGAAGGGCGCCACAGTCGGCGCCTTCGGCCTCGCCCCCGCGTCCGCTGCGGCCGCGGCCCACGCCCGGCGCGGCGCCTGGCGCCCTCTGGGCGCTATCTCCGAGCTATCTTTGAAGGACGCCACAGACGGCGCCTTCGGCCTCGCCCCCGCGCCCGCTGCGGCCGCGGCCCACGCCCGGCGTGGCGCCTGGCGCCCTCCTGGCGCTATCTCCGAGCTATCTTTGAAGGGCGCCACAGACGGCGCCTTCGGCCTTGCCCCCGCGCCCGCTGCGGCCGCGGCCCACGCCCCGCGTGGCGCCTGGCGCCCTCTGGGCGCTATCTCCGAGCTATCTTTGAAGGGCGCCACAGACGGCGCCTTCGGCCTCGCCCCCGCGCCCGCTGCGGCCGCGGCCCACGCCCGGCGTGGCGCCTGGCGCCCTCCTGGCGTTATCTCCGAGCTATCTTTGAAGGGCGCCACTGGCGGCGCCTTCGGCTTCGCCCCCGCGCCCGCTGCGGCCGCGGCCCACGCCCGGCGTGGCGCCTGGCGCCCTCTGGGCGCTATCTCCGAGGTATCTTTGAAGGGCGCCACAGACGGCGCCTTCGGCCTCGCCCCCGCGCCCGCTGCGGCCGCGGTCCAAATCCGGCATGGCGCCTGGCGCCCTCCTGGCGCTATCTCCGAGCTATCTTCGAAGGGCGCCACAGACGGCGCCTTCGGCCTCGCCCCCGCGCCCGCTGCGGCCGCGGCCCACGCCCCGCGTGGCGCCGGGCGCCCTCTGGGCGCTATCTCCGAGCTATCTTTTGCGGCGCCGCAAACGGCGCCTTCGGCCTCGCCCCCACGCCCGCTGCGGCCGCGGCCCACGCCCGGCGTGGCGCCTGGCGCCCTCCTGGCGCTATCTCCGAGCTATCTTTGAAGGGCGCCACAGTCGGCGCCTTCGGCCTCGCTTCCGCGCCCGCTGCGGCCGCGGCCCACGCCCGGCGTGGCGCTTGGCGCCCTCCTGGCGCTATCTCCGAGCCATCTGAAGGACGCCACAGACGGCGCCTTCGGCCTCGCCCCCGCGCCCGCTGCGGCCGCGGCCCACGCCCGGCGTGGCGCCTGGCGCCCTCCTGGCGCTATCTCCAAGCTATCTTTGAAGGACGCCACAGACGGCGCCTTCGGCCTGGCCCCCGAAACCGCTGCGGCCGCGGCCCACGCCCGGCGCGGCGCCTGGCGCCCTCTGGGCGCTTTCTCCGAGCTATCTTTGAAAGGGCGCCACAGACGGCGCCTTCGGCCTCGCCCCCGCGCCCGCTGCGGCCGCGGCCCACGCCCCGCGTGGCGCCTGGCGCCCTCTGGGCCCCAGACTCTGGGCGCTATATCCGAGCTATTTTTGAAGAGCGCCACAGACGGCGCCTTCGGCCTCGCCCCCGCGCCCGCTGCGGCCGCGGCCCACGCCCGGCGTGGCGCCCGGCGCCCTCTGGGCGCTATCTCCGAGCTATCTTTGAAGGACGCCACAGACGGCGCCTTCGGCCTGGCCCCCGAAACCGCTGCGGCCGCGGCCCACGCCCGGCGTGGCGCCTGGCGCCCTCTGGGCGCTATCTCCGAGCTATCTTTGAAGGGCGCCGCAGACGGCGCCTTCGGCCTCGCCCCGGCGCCCGCTGCGGCCGCGGCCCACGCCCCGCGTGGCGCCTGGCGCCCTCCTGGCGCTATCTCCGAGCCATCTTTGAAGGACGCCACAGACGGCGCCTTCGGCCTCGCCCCCGCGCCCGCTGCGGCCGCGGCCCACGCCCGGCGTGGCGCCTGGCGCCCTCTGGGTGCTATCTCCGAGCTATCTTTGAAGGGCGCCACAGACGGCGCCTTCGGCTTCGCCCCCGCGCCCGCTGCGGCCGCGGCCCACGCCCGGCGCGGCGCCTGGCGCCCTCCTGGCGCTATCTCCGAGCTATCTTTGAAGGGCGCCACAGACGGCGCTTTCTATCCTGATCCGCTCTCTCGCCAGATCCGCCCCGCACAGGTTTTCCGGATCTTTCGATCCTCGCAGGGCTGCCGAACATGGCGCTCAGCTATCCTAGGAGCGTTGCGCTGGGTGGCCCCCCTCGTCGCCAGTCTGGGCGCGGGCCAGGGCGCTGGCAATCGAGGGAAAGACCGATGCGGCCTAGCAGCAATTCTGTCTCGGGAGCATATTTTCCTCCTCCTCACCACTCGTCGCCACCGCGGGCGTGGCTCGAATCGCTGGAAGTCGGCCAGGCAGAGAAGCCGATGCGGTGCGCGTATTCTTGCTTCGGCTGCATCCACCCCTATCACCCCTCAGACTCTTTCGACGCGGCGCCCTCGACTCCGATCCTCCACCTTCGTCAGCCTATCCTGCTCTGCGCTCTCGCCAGATCCATCATTCTCAGGCATTCCAGATCCACTGATCTTCGTAGACCTCCCGAACATGGCGCTCATCCAATCTCAGGAGCTTTGAGCTTTCGGGCAATCCTCTCGTCGCGAGTCCGGGCGCGGTTCAGGGCATTGGCAATGGACTTGTCAGAAAGCCCGATGCGGCTTAGCACCATTTGTCTCGGGAGCAACTCTCCTCTCTCACCGCCCGTTGTCACCGCGGGCGTGGCTCGAAGCGCTGGAAGTCGGTCAGGCAGAGAAGTCTGTGTGGCGCGCGTATTTTTGTTTCGGCTGCATCTACCCCTACCGCCCTCAGACATTCTGGACGCGGCGCCCTCGAGTCCGATTCTCTATCCTCGCCGATTTACGTTCTGAGAAGAGGCCCACATTCAGACAGGGGAGAAATACTATATTCAGACCACGAGCCGAGAGTGCCCCAAGAGAGACACTTCATCACCTTCTGCGACTAAGGCGAATCGACAGTAATTCCATGCGGGAGATGTCTTCATCGATTAGCACTCCGAGACGAGGCGGCACATTCATAAAACAAAGGAGCCAGACCACATTCAGACCACAAGCCAGGAGTGCCCCAAGAGGGATATTTGATCATGTTCTGAGAATTAGCCGAGTCCAGATTAACTCCAGCGAGAGATGTCCAAGTCGATTTAGCACTCTGAGACGAACGAGGCCGGCAAGACTCCAAGCCTCGTTCCTCGGCCTCTCTCCGTAGATTTCTCGGCCAAAGCAAACCTTGGCGCGGTCTGCGAGACTGCATCGAGATATCCGACATCTGACCAATGGGGCCGCCCATCTGTCAAGGGCGCGCGGAGCATGGTGCCAGAGTGCAATAATGTCGGTTCCACCAGACCCGGCCCGGTCGGGCAGCGCTGGCGAAATTCTAGACGATTCGCGCATCCCCACCAGCCCGTCCAGAAACGACGCCCAGGCGAGTAGAGGGTCGTCCTGAGGGGCTTCTCGGCGTCTTGGGTGCCTCGGGGGGGCCTCTGTGGGCCGTTCGGGATCCTCTTTGGGGCCTCCTGGGGGCCTCTTGGGGCCTCTTGGGGCCATCTTGGGGCCATCTTGGGGCCTTTGGGGGCCTCCCGGGCGCTTCTTGGGACCGTCTTTGCCCCCTCAGAAGGCCAAAATGGGGCCCAAACCATAGTAAAAAGGCCTCTGGGAGCACCTTGGCTGCCTCTGGGGGGTCTCTTGGGGCCTCATGGGGGTCTCTTGGGGGGCCTCTTGGGGGCCTCTTGGGGGGCCTCTTGGGGCCATCTTGGGGCCGTCCTGCGGCCTCTTGGGGCAACCTGGGGGCCTCTTGCGGCCATCGTGGAGGAGATCGATCAAAGAAGAGGGGGGCTCTAATCAGCGCTGCCCCCTCAGAAGGCCAAAATAGGGGCAAAACCAAAGTAAAATCAATGATTTTGGCTTCCTCGCCGAGGCCGTTCTGGGCGCTCTGACCGCTCTCCGCCCCTCCTGTCCAGGTCTGTGGGGAGGGGGTAGGGGGAGGGGTAAACCCCTCCCCGAAGGGGAGGAGGGAGGGGTGGAAGAGGAAACGCCCTAAACCACCGACGCCCAGAGGGCTGGTGGGATTCTCCAACCAGTGCACGTGGCGCAGCGCGGACGGCATGCAGGCCCAGTGCGCGGCGGGGGAGCGTCAGCGCAAGCTCTTAGGGTCTGCAGTAGACGCCTGCTCCCGCGCGATCGCCAGTGTTTCCGATTTGCTCAGGTGAGCGTTTCTTGTTCGAGCGATCCCCGAGACGCATCTGCGCGATGGATCGTGGCGCGGTTAGGGGTCGATTGATCTGGGTACGTGCGCCCTATCGCATCGGTGGCCGATCGAGTTCGACCGATCATCAATCGCTTGCTCCCGCGCGATCGCCAGTGTTTCCGATTTGCTCAGGTGAGCGTTTCTTGTTCGAGCGATCCCCGAGACGCATCTGCGCGATGGACCGTGGCGCGGTTAGTGGTCGATTGATCTGGGTACGTGCTCCCGATCGCATCGGCGACCGATCGGGTTCGACCGATCATCAATCGCTTGCTCCCTCGCGATCGCTGTCATCCTAGGTCGCAGCTCGCGAAGTTCTTCGAGGCCGACCCGGACATCTTCGACTTGGCATCGCGCCGGATACCTTTCGACCACCAGAAGGAGATCGTAGAGGGTTACTTCGAAGAGGCGCTCGCCCGCGGAAGGGCCCGCGCCGATTTCGGCGCAGACGAGGTCGCAGACGGTTCTTGGGAGATTCACAAGGGCGACGTGCGCAACAGATATCACTCCGAGCGCGGCAGTCGGACCATTCATCTGGTGGAAAAGGTGGAGGGCGCGAAGTGCACTGAAGAGGAGTTCGCAGAGTTCTACCAGCTCTACGACGCAAAGACGGACGACGGGGAGCCGATGCTAGACAGGGGGGGTATCATGCGCTGCATAGGCAAGCGCAAGACGCGCTACGGTGAGTTCGCAGCCAAGGTCCAGGACATGGGCGCGGCCACGCGAGCTCCAGGGCCGCGGCCGCAAAAGCTCAAGGTTGCGACGCAAGAGTTCCTCGAGGAGCAGACGGATGAGCCGCAGAGCGTCACTCAGGACGATGCTCGGCGCGCCGAGTTTGCCGCGCGCGCGGCGCCGCGCACAGGGCGGTTCACCTTCAAGCCAGGCGCCGACGGGGCGGTCGAGCGCGCGCTCGCGGAGGAGCAGAAGGCGCTGGCGCGGGAGATGCTGAGTGAGAGAGCTTCGACGATGGAGTACTTGTTCAGCCAGGGAAACGTCTGCGCGTGCTTCGGGATTCGCGGTGGCTGGGCGCGCTCGCAAGCACCCGGCGCTGCTCGCGGCGGCTGGGGCCGACCCGCGCCAGGACCTGCAAAAGACGAGTGGCCTCGTCCTTGAGGAAGAGGCGGCGGACCGTGCTGGCGAACCGAGCGTCCAGTACGAGAAGAGTTGGCTGCGGTGGGCAAAGGAGCTCTCGCTGGATAGCCCCAGCGTCGTGTGCTTCGCCTGCGGCGTCAAGGTCTCCAAGCACCACTGCATGCGCGAGTGCCTGTCAGACCTCATCGCGCAGACCTTGCGCGAGGGCGCCTCCGAGATTACCCCGCACATCTGCGATTACTGCGTGCGGGCGGAGGATCGTGGGGCGCGCGTCTCGCGGGGCGCCATCGACACGGGGAACGCGCCAGAGCCGCTTCGAGGACCCATTCGCCACGAGGAGCGAGTGCTCCAGCTGGCGGAGACGAACGTGGTCATGGTGCACGCGCCCAAGGGCGGCACGGCGACGGCGAAGGGCGGGGCCTTCGTGGCGCCGCTGGAAGCGCCGCGCGCCTGCGAGGTGCTCGGCGGCGCCAGCATGGAGATCACCGACGGCGTGCTCTGGCTCCGGCCGCGGGGCGCCCCGCCCGGCTGGGCAGTCCCCGCGCGCGCTCAGAAGCTCCTCGACGCGCTGAAGTGGCTCGCGAGGAGTAACGCATACTATCGCGACATCTTCGTGCTGGGCCAGGCAACGGCAGACATCGAGGCCCTCGCGACGAAGCTCGCTGAGAAGCTTGCTGACGATCGCCCAGCGATCGACCCGGAGGCCGAGGCGGCGGCGCAGGGCGCTTTCGAGGGAGACGCAACGTACTCCACCGCGGGCGGGCCCGCCAAGGTCGGCGCCGTTGTGGGGGACCTCCAGAAGAACCGGGAGTCGGCGGAGATTCGCCCGTTGACGGAGGCGCTGGCGTTCCCGACGCTGTTCCCAGGAGGCGAGGGCTCCTGCCCCGAAGAGCTCTGCTTCAGCAGCTACGCGTGGCGCCGCCTGCTGGACTGCAAGACCAAGTTCCAGGATAATCCGGATTACACCTTCTGCCAGCTCGAGACGTGGTTCCGGAAGAGCTTGCGCAGCGCGACGTCCGTGTTCGCGGGGAAGCGCGAGGTGCCCGGTCGGGAAGCGGCGGAGCGCAGAGCATACGCCGTGCAAGGTAAAGTGCCCGGCACAACGGCGTTCCTGGGCCAGAAGCGCACCCGCTGCGTCCAGGTGATGCGCCAGCTCGGGCGCCCTGATTTCTTCCTCGCGCTCACGAGCCACAAGCGCCAGCCGCACATGCTCGCAGCGTGCGTAAAAGCGCAGCTCTACAACGACAGCCCCGGCCTGCCGCTTGATCGCGTGGAGAAGACTGTCGCCGCGCAGGTGCTGGCGTACACGAACGACCCAGAACGCAAGTGGGATGGCAGCCCGCAGTGCGACGAGAAGATCAAGGGCACGAATGACGGGGCCGCGGCGTGCGAGAGCGAGCGGCTCGGAGACCAGGCGAATTGGGATGACAGCTCTTCAACTGTGTCAGAAGTTCCCTGCTGACGTCGAGCGCGAGTGGAACCGGCAGCTGGACAGATATCTCAGCTGGATCACCGAGGCGCGGAAGACAGAGGGAGAGAGCTGCCCGCCGTTTCCGAAGCCGACTCTGCTTCGCGGGACGGAGGCGGCGGACGGTGGCGAAGCGCCCGCGGGCGCCGAGGATATCGGATACATGGATCTGCTCCAGGGCGACGTCAAGCGGGATTGCTGGGGCGGCAACCTGGACGAAGCGCCCCCCCCCCCCCCTTCGTCGCGCAAGACTTCGTCAGCCGCGTGGAATGGCAGAAGCGGGGCTTCCCCCATGCGCACATGCTGCTGTGGGTGGGCGACTGGGGGGCCGAGCGCGACGCTCGGATCGCCACGGCAGAGGTCGCGCAGCCGCGCCCGGACGCGGCCCCGCCCGTGGCCGGTGACTCCATCTGGCGCGTGAGCATAGAGCAGTTGGATCAGCTCCTCTCCGGGAAGGCCAGCGCGGTCGTGAGGCCGCGCGGGCTGAAGGACGCAGGGCGCAAGTGGTTGGCGTGCACTGCAGACGCGGGCGCCCAGATCGTCGCGGTGGCGCGCGTGGCAGGCGCCCGGCAGGTCATGTCGCAGGACGAGTGGCGCCAGAAGAGTAAGGAGCACGGAATGAGCCGGCGGACGTGCTTCTACAGGAAGACGTTCCTCGTGCACGTGCGCATGGTGCAGCAGCTGGCAGAGGCGGTGCCGTGCGCCGACCCTGGTGCGCGCGCCTGCGGTGACCATGTATTTCGCCCCACGGACGCAGGGCCGCCGACGGACAGGGTCCTCCTGTTGCCCCCGCCGCGCCGATACTTTCCCGACTGCGTGAAGGTCAACTGCATCTGGGACATCGACGCGGCGCAGATGGACGTCTTGGCGTCTGGCTCCTCCACCGTCGTCGCGCGCCCCGTCGGCGTCGTCGGCGAGGAGCGGAAGTGGCTGGCGCGTGCCGCAGATTCCGGCGCCCAGATCGCGGGCTGGACATCCGCCTCGGTAAGCCGAGAGGCGCCGTCCGAGGAGGAGTGGGCCGCCGCCCGAGAGACTTCCGGCCTCGTCGAGGACGCCCTCCCCTTCGCGCCGACGTTCCTCGTGGAGCTGCGAGCTCTGCAGCTGTTCGCCAAGCCCGTCGACTACGCGCCGCCGCGCGCGGGCTCTGCAGTCGGCGGAGCCCCGCCGCCGCCGCAGCCGCACCCAGAACCTCGCGTCGGCGGCGAGGCGGCAGAGCGCGGCGGCGAAGAGGCAGAGGGCGAGCCGCCTGCAGCCCCAAAGCGCCCCGCGGCAGATTGGCTTGACGGGGCGGCCTCAGAGACGGACGACGAGCTCCTGGGCCCGTCGAAGGCGGACAACGTCGCCTGTATCTACGACGTCTATGCGCGGACGACGGGGCCGAAGAGGTGGCGCGGAGTCTATCGTGACGGTGTGATGACGCTGCTCACGAAGTCGCTGATGCACAAGCACGGACCATACTTTATGCACTCGCTCGGACGCTGCCGCTTCGGGTTCCCGCAGCAGCCGGCGGAGAAGAGTCGAAAGAAGAGTCAGCGAGAGCTTTGGAACAACGGCTCCAAGAACGAGTACTTCGTACGGCGCCGCAGCGGCGCCACGATGATGGGCCTGTACAACCCCCGGATATTGCGCCGGTGGCGCGGTTCCATGGACCTCCAGGTCGCCGGGAGCTCGCACGCGGTGGCTCGGTACATCCTGGGCTACTGCTTGAAGAACGACACCGCGAAGGACGCCGCGGGCAAGCTCAACCAGGACATCGCGAGGGTGCCGGCCACCGGGCCTGTGACGAGCAAGCAAGTGAACCGCCTCGCTTACATCGGCGCTCAGGGCCGCGTGACCTCCACGTTCGAAGCGTGCCACCACCTCCTCGGACTTCCCGTGGTGCGCATCTCGCGGGAGTTCCAGTGGGTCCATGCCGGCATGCCCGAGTCTTACTCGGCCTACGTGCCGCGGCACCTCTGGCGCCAGACCATCGCGAACCCGGAGGACGCGCCCGAGCCCACGGCGCCCGCAGTGATCCGCCGTTATGCGGAGTGGCGCGCGGGGAAGGTCGCCGTCTTCGACGACACTGGGGAGCAGTTTCCGCTTCTCGTGGAAGGCGGGGCCGCCAAGAACTACGAGTGGGTGAGCCCTCGCGAAGTGACGCTGTTCGATTTCGTGGCGTCCTACTCGACGTCGTACATTTCGGACCCCAAGCTGAGAGCGCAGCCAGCAATCGCGTCCACGAAGGCGTTCGACCCCGAGCGCGAGACGGAGACGTACTATTACTCCAAGCTCCTCCTGCACTACCCGTGGGCCGATTTCGACGAGGACGACGGGCCGGAGTGGCTGGGGCCCTCGGACGACGGCAGTCACCAGAGTGCTTTCGTCCGCCTGTCGAAGGCCAGCAATCAAGGAGAGCACGGCGACGAAGCGGAGGCGCCGCCAGAGGACGCCCAGGCGCGCGAGGAAGAGGCGGAGCTCCCTGCGCCCGACTTCTTCCTGAAGTCCACGGTCTTCCCGAATCTGGGCATCGCGGAGGCCGCGTGGCGGGGGCTGAAGCGGCTCAGTTGCGCCCTCGTCATGCGGTCCGCCATGCAGACGCCAGGGGCAGCGGAGGACTGGGAGAACCGCCGGGAACTGCTGCGCCGCCTCCGCCTTGCCGCTGGCCGCCCCGACGAGGAGGCCGACGACCCGGACCAGGGCGAAGATCTGGAGGAGCTGGCGGGCGCCGCGCCGCACGCCATTAGCGCCTTTGGACCAGTGGCCCGCGGCGACGAGGCCGTGCAGTTGCTCTTCGGCCCCGACGCGCAGAAGTCCAAGCAGCAAGACATCGTCTATTGGTTCCTGGAGCAGGTGCGCCAGGGCAATCGCGCCCCCGCGCGCGTCCTTCTCCACGGTCCCGGCGGATGCGGGAAGTCCGTGGTCGTCCGCGCCGTCGCACGCCTCTTGCGGACGGAGGGGCACGGCGTCGCGCTCGCGGCGCCAACGGGGTGCGCTGCCTTCCTGATCAACGGCTGCACCCTGCACTCCTGCTTCCACTTGCCAGTTGAGAACAAGTCCTTCGCCACGCCTCGGACGCGTCGCCCCCTTCCGGGCCCGCGCTGGAGCACCTCATCGAGTTCTGGAAGCCTGTCCGCGCGCTCGTGATCGACGAGATCTCCATGGTCTCCGCGGAGATGCTCGCTCGGATCGACGCGCGGCTGCAGATCTACAAGCGCCAACCGGGAGTGCCATTCGGCGGCCTTCCTGCTCCTCTGTGGGGACCTCTACCAGCTTCCTCCCCCGAAGGGCCAGCCCGTGTACGCGGCTGTCCAGCTGTGGAAGATGTCCCTGGTCTGTGAGCTCGAGGGGAACCACCGAGCGGCGTGGGACCCCGCTTGCGCCGCTCTGCTGGAGAGAGTCCGGAAAGGCCTGCACACAGAGGCCGACCTCGCGACGCTTCGGACCAGACTGCGCAAGCCACCCGCGGACAGCCGCGCGCCGCACCTACTGGCGACCCGGAAGGCTGTCCGGCAGGTGAACGAGGAGATGCTCGAGCGACACGCGGAGACGCACGGCTTCGAGGTGCGCGCCGCGCCCGCGCAGGACACGTCGCACCGCACGGGGCCCCCGGTGGAGGTCGACACGGGCTACGACAATCCCGAGGACACCGGCGGCCTCGAGTCGGACGCGCGGTTCGCCATCGGGGCCGAGGTCGTGCTCCGTCGGAATTTAGATATCAGCGACGGACGCGTCAACGGCGCCCGCGGCATGGTGACGGACATCAAGCTCGCGCGGGACTCTGGCGAGGTGCTGAAGGTGCGCGCGGAGTTCGAGCGCGGCGGGCAGGCGGCCCGCGAGGAGGAAAGCGACGCAGATCTGCCGGGCGCGCTCATCAGCCCCGTGCAGGGGGCTTTCCAGAACGAGGACGGCGAGCGAATCCTTCGCCGGCAGCCCCCCCTGGTGCTCTGCTGGGGCCTCACGATCCACAAGGCGCAGGGCGGCACGGAGACGAAGGGCATCGCCTTGAGCCTCGACGAGACAGTTCGCCAGCAGTGCCAAGCTTACGTGGGCCTGTCGCGGGTCGAGTGCCTGGCCGACCTCTACCTCGCCGCGTTCGACGAGCGCGCCATCGCCCCCGCGGTTGGCGTCGACCACGCGCTGCTGCAGCTCCGCCTGCAGCAGGGCTACGAGGTGGAGCGGGCCAACGGGCCGAACAAGAACTGGAGAGCGTGCTTCGCGCCAGCGCAGACGGCGCAGGAGCTCGAGGATGCGATCGCGAGCGCGCCACCAGGGGCGTTCGCCGAGCGGCAGGCGGAGTTGCTGGAGGCGCGCGCCGCAGAGGAGCGCGGGGACAAGGGCGCGTTCACGCGCGAGCACTTCGGCGAGGAATGCGGGACGAAGCGCGCGCTCGCCACCCGCAAGAGGGAGACCTGCACAGTGGCGAGGATGATCCGCGTGCGGAAGCGCCCGGCGGGCGCTCCGCCGCCGCCGCCGCCCTTGGATCCGGAGGAAGCGCTCGACGTCTGTCGAGGATGGCGGGCGGTGACCGCTGGCAGCGGATCACGGGGCAGCGCCCTGCCGCTGCCGCGGCCCAGCAGAAGGCGGCCGCTGGGCAGACGCCCCGGGCTGCCGCCCAGCGAACCTCTACGGAGACGGATGCTGGGGAGCTTCTGCCGCGCCGGCCGCGCCCGCGGTGCCGCCGCGCCGGAGGGCCAGGCTTGCAGCTTTGCAGCAGGCGCCGGCCGGCGCCGCGGAGATCGAGGCCGAGTGGCGCACTTCTGCTGCCCCCGACGCAGAGACGCCGCCCTCGCCGCCGCCGCCGCCCAAGCGGCCCCGTCTCACGAGCCTGGCGCCGGCCGCGAGCGGCGCGGAGGCCGCGGCGGCCCCGCGATCAGCCCCTGCCGCCGCAGCGCCCCCGCGCGCGCCGCCGGCGCTGAAGAGGCCGCGGCTCGCTGACCTCGCGCAGGCCGCGAGCGGCGCAGAAGAGGAAGCAGGCCGCGGGGTCCGGCGTCGCCCGCGAGGCCGCGGGTTCCGGCGCCGATGGCGGCGCGCGCGCCAACGCGCCCGCCGCGGCCAGCGCGGGGGCACAGAGCGCGGCGGCGCCTCTGACGTGTCAGCCAGGTGGCCGCCTCGCCAGCCGAAGCGTCGCTAGCCAGGCGATGGGATCGGCGACGGGGGCCGCGACTGGCTCGGGGCGCGCCGCCTCGAGCGGCCCGGGCGGAGCGCTCGGGCGTCGGCGCCCCTGCGGTTTCCGCAGCGTGGGGAACTCGTGCTACATGAATTCCCTGTTGCAGGCCCTCTTCCCGCTGGCCCCAGCGCAGCGGATGATTGCCGCGACGCTGGGCGCTCTGGGCGACGAGCCTGAGGAGGGCCTGTTCGACTTGCTGCGACAGGGGAACAAGCTGGTGGGAACGGCCATAGCAGCCTGGCGCGCCCGCGGGGCGCTCGAGCCCGAGCTCTTCCTGGACTGGCACAACGGCGAGCAGGAGGACGCGCAGGAGTTCCTGCAGCTGAACCTGTTGCAGAATGATGGCCCGGAGCTCGCGGACCTGTGCCGCGGGATCGATTGGCCGCGGTTGTCGCGCCCTGCCTGCCCTGCTTCTCGAGACGCTACAGGCGCCGAGCCCTTCACGATTCTCTCCTTGCCGCTTGTGGCCGCGGACGGCCGCCGAGCCTTTGCGTCCGTGCGCACTGCGCTGGCGGACTACATCGAGGCTCCGTACCTGGTGGAGGTGGACGACTGGCAGTGCCCGTGCGCGGGTTTCGTCGCGCACCGTGCCAGCGTGCTCAAGACGCACCGCATCACTTGCGTCCAGGAGATCCTGCTGCTTCACCTGGTGCGCTGGGACAGCTTCGGCCGCGCGGTGCCGCACCCGGTGGCAGCCGACGCCGTCCTCGAGGTGCGCGGCCCGGACAGCGTCGGGATCTTCTCGTTGAAGGCTGTGGTCGTGCACAGGGGCGCCACCACCCGCAAGGGCCACTACTGCGCCTTCGCGAAGTACGACGGCACCTGGTGGCTCTACGACGACGACGCCTCCCGCGTCGCCACCGAAGCTGAGATCGCCTTCTTCGGCAGCGGGCAGGGCGCCGCGGCGCTGACGAAGGTCCACCTCGCTTGCTACGAGCGGCTCGACAGCGCGGCGCCCTTGCCCGCGCAGGGCCGCCTCGTCGTGGAGGCGTCGGACGCGGCGCTCTGAGGCCCGCGGCAGCGCGACTCATAGCAGTCGCCAGCCACTGCCCTTGGCGCGCCGCGGAGAGCCCCGCGGCGCGCCCTGCAGTCCGACTTGGAAATCATCGTCTTCGCGTCATCGGTCTCATTGGCGCGTTCGCCGCCTCCGCGCCCCCCTCCGCCCTCGCCTTCTTCGCCTTCCTCGCCTCTCTCGGTCGCCTTTCTATCGCCGCGACCCCTGAAGTCCTCGCCGCCATCGCCATTCTCATCATTTCCACCGTCGACACGGTCGAACATCCACGCCATTCCCGCCAGGCTCACCACCCCCACCGCCCTTGCCATCTTCACGACTCCTATCGCCCTCGCACTCCCGCTACTCCCATCCTCCTCCCCATCCTCAACAGTCTCACCGTCGCCGCCGTGCCCGCGCCCCCGCCACCTCCGCCACCCTCGCCATCAAAAGTTTCGGGGTTCGTTCCTTCTCACTGTCTTTTGCAATGGCACCGTTCGAGCTTGCTCAATACGTGGTGTTTTCGTCTTGAGGGTTTAGGGTTTAGGGCCCACCGTGCCCCGCCCACCCATGACCCAAGACATATTGATCTCGATGCGGTATCAACACGCGACTCGCAAAACGACGACGAGGACGACACCGATGACGACGACGTTGATATTGTGTTCAAAACGACGACGACGCGGCCGCGCAAAGACACCTGGGACGCGGCTGCAACGGCGATGCGGCCCGCGCGCGTGACGACGCGATTTGAAGAATCACGTTTTTTGACGCGAGTCCCTGTGCGATGCAGGGACGCCGCCCAGCGGCGGAGAGGTTGCACGCAAGATCCACGTTTATTGACGCGAGTCCCTGTGCGACGCAGGGACGCCGCCCAGCGGCGGCGAAGTTGCACGCAGTGGTTGCCCAAGGCGCGCGGGATGACTCGTCGCCCCGAAGAGAGGGATCCCCCTGTGCATCCTCGGGACTGCGCCGCGGCGCGCAAAGGCCGATGCAAGGGCGATGCGACGCGCGCGCGCGAAGCGACATCACATGCTCCCCGCAGCAACTTGGCGTCGCCTTGGCGATGCATTGCGCAGCTTGACACGAGGCGCTCGGGGCGAGTCGTTGCTTGGTGAGAGTCACCCCCATGTTTGTTTCCTTAGGCCCCGCGACGCGACGCGCGAAGGCCGATGCATTGGCGATGCGACGCGCGCGCTCCGAGGCCAAGGATCTGCGTGAGGGGCGCGCCCTGGAATTTGCAGATCCTCCCAGAACGCCATTCCTGGCGCTCCGAGGGCAAGGATCTGCGTGAGGGGTGCGCCAAAATTGGGGGGGGGGGGGGGGGGGGGGCGGCCGAAGGGGGGACTTTCGGGCGGCGGAAGGCATTTCAGGATTTAAATTTTTATAGGCTCTTAGTTTTTAGGGCCGCGGGTGGTGGATTTCGAGAAGTCGAGGACCCAGGGAGTGCGTCGGGGAGTGCGTCGGGGACCCCGCCCCTTGAACGAAAGTCTGGACCCTGGGGGGGGGCGGAGGAGGAGGAGGAGGAGGAGGAGGAGGAGGAGGAGGAGGAGGAGGAGGAGGAGGGGACCCCCCCCCTTACACGAAAGTTTGGACCCTGGGGGGGGGGGCTGGGGGGATAGCCACATGTCCCACACGCCTTATTGCCCCTTGCGAGCGGTGGTCGGCAGATCCTCGTCCACCTGCGTTTTCATCCTCCACCTCCATCTCGTTTGTCTTCTTATCCCATATCCTCCTCTCCCTGTCCTGCTCTTCTTAACCTGCTTCTCCCTTGTCCGCTCCCTCCCTTCCCATTCCTTTTTCTTCCTCCACACCCTTCCCCTTGAATATTCCATTACTTTCGCGTCTTGCTCCTCCTCATCCTCCGTCTCCCGTCACTCCTCCCCGTTTCCATATGTTCCTCTTCCATTTCCTCTTCCCTTCCTCCCCCGCTCCGTCCTCCATGTCATCATCTTCAGATTCCCCTCTCCATCCTCCCCCACCTCCTCCTCCTCCATCTGCCCAATCCTTTTCCCTCTTCTCAATATCCGTAAGGGCTTCGCCTCCTGCCGCCGGCCCCCTCCTGCCGCCGGCCATCAGAGTCGCGTCGGTGCGTCTCGGCGCTGCCTTGGCGCATCTGGGAACATCATGCGGGGGCGGATAGGAATCATCAGTGCACATTGAGTCGTTGGCGTTATCGAAGACGCCTACGGCGAAACCGCCGCCCCCTGCCCTTGTGGAAGCGCCTATGTGGCCGACAGCTGGGCCAGAGCTTGGCCAAGCTACCGGGCCAGTTGTTCCTCGAGTCGGTTTGGAGAGCCTTCGGGGAACGCGTGGGGGAGCAACAGGTTTGAAAGCGCCCATGTGTCCGAGCGTTGTGGCAAGAACTCCGCCAAGCTATCGGACCATGTGTTCCCCCAACCGTTGTGGAAACCCTTCGGGGAACACTTGGGGGAGGATGGCGGGGAAGATCAGGAGGAGGAGGAGGAGGAGGACGAGGAGGAGGAGGAGGAGGAGGAGGAGGAGGAGGAAGAGGAGAGGAGGAGGAGGAGCAGGAGGAGGAGGAGGAGGAGGAGGAGGACGGAGCATCTTGGGAGCCTCTGGGGGGCAATCTTGGGGTTTGCTGGGAGCTTCTTGGGAGCATTTTGGAGGCATCTTGGGGGCCTCCGTGGGCCTCTTGGTGGTCTCTTGGGCCGTCTCGGGGACCTCTTTGGCCGTCGTCTCAGGGCATTCCTGGCCCGTCCTACGCCGCCGGAAGCCGTCTTGGGGGCTTCCCTGGGCCGATTGGAAACCCTTTTGGGGTGCTCCAGGGCCGTCTTTGAGGCCATCTTGTGAGTCTTGGTGGCCTCTTGGGCCGTCTGGGGGCCGCCTCTTGGGCCGTTTTGTGGCCGTCCTGGAGGCCTCTTGGACTCTTGGGCGATCTGTCGGGGCTCTTGGGCCGTCTCGGGCCTTCGGAAGGCAGAACAAAAAGCAAATGCCAATATGTTTTCAACAACCGAAAGGCAAATCAATGATTTTGGCCTCTTGGGCCGTCTTGGAAGCATCTTGGGGGCCTTGTGGGCCGTCTTGGGCCATCTCAGAGCCATCTTGGGCCATCTTGGTGGGCTCCTGGCCCGTCTGGCGCCGTCGGAAGCTGTCTTGGGGGCCTCTCTGGGCCGACTTGGGGCCCTCTTGGGGTGCTCCAGGTCCGAGCCCACTTCGGCCATCTTGGTGGGTTCCTGGCACGTCTGGCGCCGTCGGGAGCCGTCTTAGGGGGCCTTTCTGGGCCGACTTGGGGCCCTCTTGGGGCGCTTCGGGGCCGTCTTGGAGGCCATCCTGGCCGTCTTGGAGGCCATCTTGGGCGTGTTGGAGGTCTCTTGGGCCGTCTTGGGGGCCTCTCGGGGCCGTCTTGGAGGCCTCTTGGGCCGTCACGGGGCCCTCTTGGAGGCCTCTTGGGCGATCTTGGGAAGATCTTTGGGGGTCTCTTGGGCCGTCTGGGGCCGTCGGAATGCCGAGAAAAAGCAAATGCCAACATTCTTCAACAACCTAAGGAAAATCAATGATTTTGGCCTGACGCCGTCGGAAGCCGTTTCGGGGGCCTCTATGGGCCGACTTGGGGCCCCCTTGGAATGCTCCAGGGCCCTCTTAGGGCCGTCTTGGGGCCCTCTTGGGCCGTTCTGGGGTCATCTGGGAGGTCGCTTGGGCGATGTTTGGGCGATCTTTGGGGGCTCTTGGGCCGTCTCGAGCCGTCGGAAGGCCGAAAAGAAGCAAATGTCAAAATCCATCAAACGCCTTAGGAACACCAATATTTTTGGCCTCTTCTGGCCTTCCTGGAGGCCCCCTTGGGAGCCTCTTGGGCCGCCTTGGGCCAGCTTCGAGCCAACTTCGGTCATCTTGGTGGGTTCCTGGCACGTCTGACGCCGTCGGGAGCCGTCTTGGGGGCCTTTCTGTGCCGACTTGGGGCCCTCTTGGGGCGCTTCGGGGCCGTCTTTGAGGCCATCTTGGGCGTCTTGGAGGCCATCGTGGGCGTGTTGGAGGCCTCTTGGGCCGTCTTGGGGCCCTCTTGGGGCAGTCTTGGAGGCCACTTGGGCCGTCATGGGGCCCCCTTGGGGGCCTCTTGGGCGATCTTGGGGGCCTATCGGGCCGTCTTGAGCCGTCGGAATGCCGAGAAGAAGCAAATGCCAAAATCCTTCAAAGACCTAAGGAAAATCAATAATTTTGGCCTCTTCGGGCCCTCCTGGAGGACCTTGAGGCCTCTTGGGTCGTCTTGGGCCGTCTTGGAGGCTTCTTGGGCGACCTTGGAGGTATCTTGGACTCTCTTGGGCCGTCTTGGAGGCCGTCTCGGACCATCTTGGGCGGACTTGGAGGCCATCTTGGAGGCCATCTTGGGCCAACGTGGCCATCTTGGAGGCCATCTTGAACCATCTTGGAGGATTTTTGTTCCGGATTGAGCTCTTTGAGATCCTTTCCGGGTGGCCGGCGGGACGGGCCGAAGCCCCAGGGGGAGTTCTGGAAAAAGAGCCAAAACCAAAACCGAGAGGGTCGAACACGCCAGGCACCCCTTTGATAAATCAAAAGGGGGCGGCGGATCCTAGTGGCCTTCGGCCCATCCCGCCACCGTGCCTGAGTTGTGGGCCTGAGGCCTCTTGTATATGTGTCGGGGTGTCGTGGGGAGCCCCCAGAGGCATCTTGGAGGCGGTTTAGGCGCCTCTTGGGGGCCTCTTGAGGTATCAGTTGGGAAAATATTGGGGCACAAATATCGAATGTTCGGTTTGGGGCCGTCTTGGGGCCCTCTTGGGCCGTCTTGAGCGCTTCTTGGGCCATCTTGCAGCCCTGTTGGGCCGTCTTGGGGCCCTCTTGCAGGCGTCTTGGGCCGGTCTTGGGAGCTTCTTGAGCCGTCTTGGAGCGTTGGAAAGCTGAAAATGCGAGAAGGCCCAAATCCTCCAAAAACCTTCAAAACATCTACGATACTGGCCTCTTGGGGCGCTCTCGGGAGGCCGAACGTAGAAGCATCACAATGTACACTGGAAACTGGAACTGGAGCAGGGAGCAGCAAGCCT